TTCAAGGTCTGTGAAGAATGTGCTAGGCTTTTGAAAGGGGTTGCATTGAATCTGCAGATTGCTTTTTGGCAAGATTGCCATTTTTACTATGTTGATCCTACCTATCCAAGAGCATGGGAAATCTTTCCATTTTCTGGTATCTTCTTTAATTTCTTTCTTTAAAGACTCAAAGTTCTTGGTATAGAGGTCTTTCACTTGTTTTTTTGTTTTGTTTTGTTTTGTTTTGTTTTTGTTTTTTCCCCCTTTTTTGTTAAAATTAGAAACAAGCTTAATTTACATGTCAATCCCAGGTCACTCACCCTGCCCTCCTCCCCTATACCCTACCAATCCCTATCCCTTTCCCTTTCTGCTCCCTAGGGAGGGTGAGGCCTTCCATGGGGGGATCTTCAAAGTCTGTCATATCATTTGGAGGAGGGCCTAGACCCTTCCTTGTGTGTCTAGGCTGGGAGAGTATCCATCTATGTGGATTAGGCTCCCTAATTCCTTTCATGCGCTAGGGATAAATACTGATCCACTACCAGAGACCACATAGATTAACCAGACCTCCAAACTAACATCCTCATTCAGGGGGTCTGGAAAAGTCCTATGCTGATTTCCCAGCTATCAGTCTGGGGTCCATGAGCAACCCCTTGTTCAGGTCAGCTGTTTCTGTGGGTTTCACCAGCATGGTCTTGATCCCTTTGGTCATCACTCCTCCCCCTCTGCAACTGGGTTCCAGGGTTCAACTCAGTGTTTAGATGTGGGTGTCTGCTGCTGCTTCCATCAGCTACTGGATGAAGGCTCTAGGATGGCATATAAGGTAGTAATCAATCTCATTATCGGAGAAGGGCTTTTAAGGTAGCCTCTTAACTATTGCTTAGATTGTTAGTTGGGGTCAACCTTGTAGATCTTTGGACATTTCCCTAGTGCCAGATTTCTCTTTAAACCTATAATGGCGCCTTCTATTATGGTATCTCTTTTCTTGTTCTCCTCTATTCTTCCCCTGACTCCATCTTCCTGCTCTCTCTTGCCCTCCTCTTACCTCCTCTTCTCCCCATCTCTTTCTTGTAACTCCCTGTCTCCTCTCCCCCATGCTCCCAATTAGCTCAGGAGATCTTGTCCCTTTCCCCTTCTCCAGGGGACCATGTATGTCTCTCTTAGGGTCCTCCTTGTTTCCTTACTCCCAGATATTTTATGTTGTTTGTGGCTATTATGAAAGATGATGTTTCTCTGATTTGTTTCTCACCCATTTATCATTTGTGTATAGGAGGGCTATTGATTTTTTTGAGTTAATCTTGTACACTGCCACTTTGCTGAAGGTGTTTATCAGCTGTAGGAGCTTCCTGGTCATTTTTTGGTCATTTATGTAAACTATCATATTATCAACAAATAGTGAAAATTTGACTTCTTTTTTACAATATGTATATTCTTGATCCCTGTTTGTTTCTTCTTGCTTAGGCAAGAACTTCAAGAACAATATTGAAGAGATATGGTGTCATGACCCAGCATGTCTCAGCCTTAATCCATGAGGTTTGGCCTGAGTTGGGGGTGTGTGGACCTGGAAGCTCTTAGCAACCCAGCAGCGATAAAGACCAGACATAGGCATCTTGTCATCTTTAGAGAGCTCTCAGTTCCATGTTGTAGAACTAGAGTCATTTCTTTATTAGCCATCTTTTCTGCTTTTTTTAACCCCCCCCGCCCACTCCACAGAGGAACCCATTCTCTCTTTGTTCTCCTCTCTCCTCTGGTCGCTAACTCCTGTCTTCCCTGTTCCTTTCACACACCTCACATCACCATCACCGCCCAGGTGAGGGCCTATTCAGATGCTTAGGCCCACAGAGATGCAAATAAGAGGCATATTGCCCTGAGGCCATGTTAAACAATAGTAGCCCTACTGGCAATTAACAATACAATAGTGGGCCAGAGCTTTCCGGTGCCTCTATTTGCTGAAACTGGAGGCTGGGCGCCAAAATATTTCATAACAGAATTATTTGGTCCCCCACAATATGGAAAGAGTGGACAGTCGTGTCTTGTTCCTGATTTTAGAGGCATTGTATTGAGTTTGTCTCCATTTAGTTTGATGCTGGCTGTTGGTTTGCTGTATATTGCCTTTATCATGTTTAGGTATGTCCCTGTTATCCCTCATCTCTCCAGGACCTTTATCATGAAGGGGTGTTGGATTCTGTCACAGGCTTTTTCAGCATCTAGTGAGATGATCATGTGGTTTTCCTTTTGCAGTTTGTTTATATGGTGGATTACATTGATGGATTTTCATATGTTGAACAATCCCTGAATCCCTTTGATGAAGCATACTTGATCATGGTGTATGATTTTTCTGATGTGTTTTTGGATTCAATTTTCTAGTATTTTATTGAGCATTTTTGCATCAGTGTTCATGAGGGAGATTATACTGTAGTTCTTTTTCTTAGTTGTGTCTTTGTGTGGCTTGGGTACCAAGGTAATTGTAGCCTCGTAGAAAGAGTTTGGAAATGAACCTCCTGTTTCAATTGTGTGGAACATTTTGAGGAGTATTGGTATAAGCTCTTCTTTGAATTTCTGGTAGAATTCTGCACTGAAAACATCTGGCCCTGGGCTGTTTTTGAGTTTTGATGACTGCTTCTATTTCACTAGGGTTTATAGGTATACTTAAATTGCTTATCTGTTCTTGATTTAATTTTGGTAAGTGATATCTACCAGAAAATTGTTCATTTCCTTTAAATTTTCCAATTTTGTGGAGGACGGGTTTTCAAAGTATGACCTGATGACACTCTGGATTTCCTTAGTGTCTGTTGTTCGGTCCTCATTTTCATTTCTGATTTTGTTAATTTGCATATTCTCACTGCCTTTTGGTTAGTTTGGATAATGGTTTGTCTATCTTGTTTATTTTCTCAAAGAACCAACTCTTTATTTCATTCATTCTTTGTAATGTTTTCTTAGTATCTACTTTATTGATTTCGGTCTTCAATTTGATTATTTCCTGGCATCTACTCCTCCGGGGTGAGTTTGCTTCTTTTTCTCCTAGAGCTTTCAGTTGTGCTGTTAAGTCTCTAGTATGACTATTCTTCAGTTTCTTTATATGGGTACTTAGTGCTATGAACTTTCCTCTTAGCACTGCTTTCAGAGTTTCCCATAAACTTGTGTATGTTTTGCTTTCATTTTCATTGAGTTCTAGGAAGTCTTTAATTTCTTTCTTTGAGCATTGTTCAATTTCATGAGTTTGTAGATATTCTGCAATTTGTGTTGTTGTTGATTTGTAACTTTAAACCATGGTAATCCAATAAGATACAGGGGATTATTCCAATGTTTTGTGTCTGTTGAAGTTTGCTTTGTCACTGAATTTGTGGTCAATTTTAGAGAATGTGGAGCTGAGAAGAAGGTATATTCTTTTGTGTTTGGATGGCATGTTCTATAGATTTCTGTTAAACCCAATTGGGTCATAGCTTCTGATAGTTCCTTTATTTCTTGTTAAGTTTCTATCTGGTGGTCCTGTCCAGTGGTGAGAATGGAGTGTTGAAGTCTCACTATAAGTGTGTGGGATTTTATGTCTGATTTGAGTTTTAGTAATGTTTCTTTAACAAATGTGGGTGCCTTTGTATTTCTTTATTGCCTCTATTTCAGTGTTCACATCTTGAACTGTTTGGATTGTTTTCTATACCTGCTTGTTTGTTTTCTTTTGGCTTTTTTCCTTGCTTTCTTTAAAAGATTTCTTGCATTTTTTGGTTTGTCTTTTCCTCCATTTTTTAAAGGATGTTCTCATTTTCCTCTTTAAGGACCTCTATCATCTTCATAAAGTTGTTTTTAAGGTCATTTTCTTCTGTCTCATCTTCAGAAATGATTTGATGAATCTATATGCAAACTGGGATCCACACATGAGAAAAAACATGGTTTTCATTTTTCTAAATCTGTCTTACTTCATTTAGTGTGATAATCTCCATTTGCTCCTATTTCCTGCAAACAGCATTAACTTTATTCTTTTCAAGGTTAAATGATAATTCATTACAGATATATATGTCATTATCTTTACATATCCTTCTGTTTATGGCCACTGATTCCATGCCTTGGATATTGTGAATATTGCTGTAGTAACCATGGATGTGAATGTGTCTCTGTGTGGTGTGTTTACTTAGAGTATGTACTCAGGAATCAAATAGCTGGGTCCTTTGGTGGTTCTGCTTCTAGGAATTTGGTTATTGGTTATTATTCATACTGGGGACTGAGCTAAGGGCTTTAAACAAGCCCATCAAGTGTTCCATATAGTTCTGTATACAGGGCTATATTCCCACCCTCTATTTTTATTTGTTTTTGTGGAACCTCCATGCTCAGGAAATAAACGAAGAGTTAACAACTCTGATGGTATGATGTTAAAATGCTCACATCAAAGGAACAATTAAGTGAATGAAGAGATGGCCTACAAATTGGAAGGAAAAATCATTGCTAGCTCAGCATCTAATGGGATTCATGTCCAGAATATGTAGAAGGAACTCAAAACCAAATACCACAAACAAACAAAAATCAACCCAACCAGTAAGGTGGGTTAATGAAATGGATAGAAAATTCTCCATAGCTCAACTGCAACTGGCAAGTAAATATATGATAAAAGTGTTCAGCATTCTTAGCCATTGCAGTTGGGGAAATGGAAATTCAAAACTACAGTGAGATCTCCTGCCTTACTGCAGTCAGCATGGCTATCATTAAGAAAACAAATGGCAACACATGCTAGTGAAGATTGAGGGAAAGGAGAGCCCTCAAGCACTGCTGGTAGAATATAAATTACCTCTTCCACTATGAAAGCAATTGTGTCTCTGAAAAGCCAGGATAAGTTTACAGAATTATGCTCAGAAGATAAATCGGTAACAATGGCGATGATGATTTGATGTTACTTCAATCCTTAGAGAAGAAAACCTTCTTTTCCTGTGTGATAGGTCTGAATTAATTTTATTCTTTCTGATGTTCCAATGAGTAGCTGTCATACTTTCTTAGAAAGGAATGGCTAATACGGACCATGTGTATCTCTTCAACAGGGACAAGTGATCCATATGTGAAGTTTAAGATCGGAAGAAAAGAAGTTTTTAGAAGTAAAATTATACATAAGAACCTGAATCCTGTGTGGGAGGAAAAGGCTTGCATTCTTGTTGAACATCTTAGAGAGCCACTGTATATCAAGGTGAGCCATTTCTTTGCTTTTCCATTAAGGAATCTAACTCAGAAATCTTTATTAATGGCTGCTTCTCGTGTCTCTGAGGGGGTTTTCACCAGACACTACTATTAACAGCTTTGCCCAAGACAATGTGACACAAATGGGATGAGATGGTGAGTTGCTGGAGGCACTGCATTTGGAGCAGTTCTGTTGGTGAACATTCAGGAGAACTATGAGATCCATCTTCTGCTTTGTGCTGTAAATGGATTTATTGTAGGCTGGGGGGCACATGGAAATATAATAAGTCTCCAGAGAATCTAGCCTGAAGGAAAGCTTCCACAGAAACCCGAATTTCTGTTTTGGTTGTTTTGTTTTTAATCGTGCTACTTAAACTTTTTGTGTGGGAGCTGCAGAGAGAGGAGACTGTGGATTTCTATTTTTCCTGCTGTGGGATAGATTTACACACTTCATAAATTCTTTTCAAAACTAGGGAAGTCATCTCACAAAAGTGTCACTTTCTGTGCTGTGTTACAGGCTCCTGTTCAACCAGATATTATGAATGTATACAAATCAGTTTGGACAAAACAATAGACCACATTGTGCTGATGTTGAATTAGTAGATCTAGTGCCTAATCTTAGTCTTCTCACAGTGGTGTGGTTCACATTTTAAGTTCAAGGTAGCAGGAGTCACTACTCTGGCAATTTACTTCTGGAAATGTGTATAGCAGATGCCACATGTTTGCTTTGACCAAAATCTAGTGCTGCTGGCACCTGTTAGCCCAAATGGTACACCACCTTCTCTGCCTGACAGCTCTGGCATCATTGGCTATGGTTGTATCTAAAGTCCTTGTTATAAGGAAGTTCCTGAGGCACCTATGTAGTAGACAATAAAGATAAATGCATAAGAACAAAAGGAGGCTTTGCTCCTTAGGAAAGTTAGGGCTCTGGGACTGAAGAGATGACTGAGTGATTAAAGCACTTGCTGTCCAAGCAAGATGACTTTAACTGGGGTCCTTGCACCCACATAAAAACAACCCAGAGGTGGTTGTATATAACTGTAACTAGTGCATGTAATTGGTGCATGTGGATGGAGACAGGCAGACCTCCAGAACTCTATAGCCAGTCAATCTAACCAAAACATCAAGCTTCAAGTGCAATAAAAAGAACATGTCTCAAACACAAGCATAGATACGTAGGGATGGACAGATGTAATACATGCATACATACAGTGCATGCACACATACATACATAGACACAATAGAGAACAATTGAATAAGACACCCTGATGTCAACCTTAGGTCTCTGCAGGTGCACATGTGGGCATGTACAGTACACTACACACACACACACACACACACACACACACACACACACACACACACGAGCACACATCCAATAGGATACCAAAATCAAATCAAATAAAAAATAACAGAAAAGAAAGAAACTTAATATCTGTGGTAGTACCAAAAGGCCTATGCCTTCCAAAGAATGAGATCTGGTAAGGACAGAATGAAGAATCCTTCTCTCCAGCTAAGGGGGCCATGTATAACCTACAATGAAGGCAATGGAATTGTCAGACCTTAGAAACATTCCTGGAATTTCTCTGCTTCATGTAAACAAACAATGATTTGAACTTGCTCCTAGTGAGCATGAGGGACAGCTCTGCATTGGGACTGAAAGCATTTGCCATGAGTCAAGTGAATTGTGTAACCTGTGGTGCAGACCAGTTTCCTTCCCATGCACACCATGTCTAAAGCAGTCAAGGAGAACTCTGAATACTACTCAAGATGCCTCACTGCAGAGTTCTGAAGACAAACCCACAGAAAAAGACCAAGAATCAAATTTAAAGCAGACCTAAATGTGCCAGGGCATTGTTCTTCACCAGACAAGCAATTACCACAGTCCAAAGGAGATGAAAAAGGCCCATAGCAAGACAGTGGGAATATGGGCATGGAGCCACTTGGGAGGCAGGAACAGGAGTATCACCACAAATATGAGGCCAGCCTAGTCTACAGAGAAAGCTTTAGGCTATCAAGGATGATTACAAAGTCCTGTCTCTAAAGAAAAAACAAACACATCTTAGCATTGGGGTGAATACTGTTCATGTTGTTTACAGGAAGAAGCCTTAGGGGGTTAAAGGGCTATAGTTATCAAGAAACTAGCAGAGAATGCACTGCAGAATAAAGAAAATTACTGTATAAACCCGTGTTCTTTATTATATAAACACCAAATAATTTGGGAGAGCTTTTTTCTTTTCCTCTATTTAAAGTTAGTGGATTAACTTATTTTAGGAGTATGTATATCTGTGTGCTTTACAGTCTTCAGAGACTCACTCATATTTTTCTGTAAGTCATTGAGTCTGTGGACATCTACTAAAGCTTCACTTTATGCCAACCAAGAAGAATTAAATGACGTTTTATTATAAGGGAATTATGGGGTTCATATGGGTGCTTATGTGTGGGTGCCATGTCCATGAGTGTGTGTGTATGACACATGTGGCAACCAGAGGTCATTGACTAGCACGCTGCTCAGTTGCTCTCCACTTTACCCTTTGTAACATGCTCTCTCACCTCTTGCTTAGTCTGTGAGGCTGGGCCACTGGTGAGCCTGGGACCCTCTGTCTCTACCTCCCCAGGCACATGTTTTCACACAGGCTCTAAGGATCAGAACTCAGGTCCAGGCTTACACTGCAAGTCTTTTACTGACAGAGCCATCCCCCAATGCCCCAGGATAGCCATTTAGATTTTTTTAAAAAATGAATATTTTACCTGGGACACTGAGAAAAAATAAACTATGCTGTTTTAAGATTTATCATTCCTGGTTCAAGGAAAGTGCTTTCTTCTACAAATGAAAAGTTCAAAGGTAATGGGGCTAAGAGATGACTTTGTTACTTCCAGACATTATTATATGGGTAAATGCTGATTATGCATGCTTGGGGCTGAACACAGGAAATGCTGACCAAACCCGCTTGGGGCTGGCACAGGTGCCGCTGACCATGCCTGCTTGGGCTTGGTCAGAGTGACATAGCAAGAGTTTAAATATCAGAGAGGCATGCACACAGCCCTCTTTTTTTCCCTCTCCCGCCTGGCTGAGTGGATGAGCAGGCATCCGGTGTAAACCTGGTCACTGGCTCCATTTTGTGAGACTTTCTTAATAAACTATCTGTGATCAATCTAGTTCTGACTCCACATTGCGTTCAGCATTACATTATAAAAGAGGCTTTTCTCTCATCTGATTTATAAAATGTCAAAAAATTTAAAGAAATTCTCAAGGAGCTCCTGTGTCCTGGATGTCTATTTGATACCTAATCCTTTCTCTACTTTTGCCATTGCAGGACACAAACCACCTTTTTCTCTAAATTGTCATTCCTGCCACAGGATCCCTAAGTCTCAGACAGTTGCTCTCTGAACATGTATGTGCCCTTCTCCCTCCCTCATGAATCTTCAGTGTAGAACCTCCCCTAGATTCCCAAGTCTTCATGTAGAGCCTCCAATTGATTCCCTCTATGTCCTGCTTATTATTTATTGTTAACATCACACCACCTAGAACTACTTGGGAAGCGGTAACTAGATCTGGAATTTCCCCCAATCAGATTGTTTAGTGGTGATGTCTGTGAGAAATTGTCTTGATCAGCAGTTGTTGTAAGAGGGCCCAACCCATTCTGCGTAGTATCAAGCCCAGCAGGTAGCTTCTGCTCAGAGGGGACAGTGAGGGGGTGACAGTGGAAAGGGGAGCCTAGGGTGTGTGCTCTCATTAATGTTACTTCAAATAAAAAGTGATAGAAAGGGAATTTATTTTTTAATTCCTTCTGCTGTAGACTTGGATTTGATTCTCAACATCAAAAGTTCTCTCACAACCATCGGTAACCCCAGCTTCAGGGCATCTGTTGCCCTTATCTGGTCTCTGCAGGACACAGGCACACAAGTGGTGCACAGAAATACATGCAGGAAAACCCCCCATTCATATAAAATAAAATAAAAATAAATGGTTTTCAAAAGAATACCCACATATATACCTGAGTGTGTGTATCATAAATCCATATACATATGTGTGTATATACATTGTAGTCCTGAAGATTGGCTAGTCCACTGCTAAGGTCACACATTACTTATAAAGAAACTGAGAAGGAGAAACAAAGGGTTGTATGTCAGTTTGCACTTTTGTCTCTTTAGCATTTCATTATACAGGATTGTTAGCCACAACTCTACTTGTACCACACAGAAAAAAATGCACAGTCATTTGTAAAGCAATAATCATTTATTTTTATTATGAAGTGAAAATATCCTTTTTTTTTTGCTTGGCCTTGGGAATACAAAGATCCAAATAAAACAATTGGTGTGAGTGACGCTGAGTTCCTATGTGGCTTCACGAACTTTATAGCATTGTATTGTCTCTGCACAGCACTGTGAGGTTGCCTTATTGAAACTCTAAGGTGACCTTTATCTTTTCTCTCATAGATGATTAATCTTGTTTAAAAGATTTCTCAGGAATGAACTGATTCTGCAGTAATGGCACTGTGAAATTATACTTTTGTGAGCTAGATGGTTAGAAAACATTAAGCCCACAGTCCTCCTGCCAATAGCTACAGGGAAAGCAAGTCCCATATGTATTGTGTAATCTGATTATAGTATCAGTGTGAATGTTACTAAAGAGAACATTAAAGTTATAGATAGAATTCTTGGCATCTCAAATAAGAAAAAGGTTTGTATAGAAAATCATGTAACATATAGTTTGCCATGGCATATACAAAATGAGGAAGAAGTTGCAGGAGCAGTTGTGTGTGTGACACACAGATGTGCCAGCATATCTTAGCACCCATTTCGGTTTCTCTGAATGAGTACCCAGAATTATAAGGGAAATAGACATAATTTCAAGGAGAAAATGTTTACATAATCGATACCTGCTTAGCCAAATAAGGACTGTGGGTTCCAGAAACCCACAATGTTATATTTTTCAGCATTCTTGAGATCAACTTTTAAAACATGTTATATACGAGTGGGATCATGTAATCATTGTCTTTCTGTGTTTGGCTTATTTCATTAAAACACATTATAGAACTCTTCTAAATGATAGAAATCCTTTAGTGCTTTAGGAAAATGAGTCTATTTGGGACTGCAGGACAGGTTCTATAGTAACACTTTAATAAAGTCAATAGTTCATTAAATAACTTGATTATAAGCTTAAGATTTTAAAGTTTTGTCAAGGTAAGAACCACATTTGCTACCCTATCTGGAGAGATTTCTCAATAGGTTACAAGGGCTTCTCTGAAAGATCATGTACTGGTGACCCTCAAACCTGAATGTATTGTTAAAGTTATTCACAAAATTTCAAAGTATTTTAATACCTAGTTCCACTCCTAAAGGATCTGAGGTAAAGTTTAAGTTTGTTATTTTTAGAACTCTCCCATAGATTATCTGATACAGTTTGTGTGGGGAAGCTACTGTTCTATGTATTTGAGTGGTAACAATTGAATATTTGGAAGGGAAATATATTTACTGATATAAGCCTTAGCACATCCAAACAGGATTTTCCCTACTTAGGAAGATGTTTGCTGTCTTAAATATTTTGTTTTACATGGTCCAAAATTACCTCAGAAATGTATGGACAAAGCTTCTATGTACAAAAAAGTCTTAACAAACTCCAACCTGACTTCACAGTAAATTCTCTAGAGGAGCTAGTTATGGAGGAAACATTTACCAACTCAACGTAGTAAAGTCTGTACATGAAAAACCTGTAGGAGCATTATGTTAAATGGAGAAAAACCGCAAAGGATTCACACTAAGATCAGAAACAAAATAAGGGTGCCTGGGCTCTCCACTCCTATTCAATGTTTCCAGTTTTAGCAAGAGCAGTAACAGATCTACAGAACATTTCACTCAAACATACACAAAAAATATACTTTCTTATCAGCATCTCACAGCACTTTCTCCAAAACTGACCACATATTGGGTCACAACAGATACAGGAAAATTGAAATAACCCCTGCATCCTATCAGACCACCATGAATTAAAACTAATTTCAACAACAGAAACCTTGTAAACGTATGGAAACTGAACATCCTTCTACTGGATGAAAAATGGGTCAAGACAAAAGAAATTAAAGAATTCAATGAAAATGAATGCACAACATATGCAAACTTATGGGACACAAGAAAGTGGTGCTATTGGAAAAGTTTGTATCACTAAGTGCCTACATAAAATAATTGGAGGAATCTCATACTAGCAGCTTAACAGCACACCTGGAGTCTCTAGAACAAAAAGAAGTAAGCAGACCCAAGATAAGTAGATGACAGGAAATAACTAAACTCAAATCAATAAAATGGAAACAAAGAGAACAATACAAAGACTCAATAAGACAAAGAATGGGTTCTTGGAAAAAAATCAACGAAATAGATAAACCCTTATCCAAACAAACTAAAAGGCAAAGAGAGCATACTCAGATTAGTAAAGTCAGAAATGAAAAGGGGGGCATAAAACAGACACTGAGGAAATCCAAAGAATCTTTAGATCATATTTTAAAAACCTGTACTCCACAAAATTGGAAAATCTAAAAGAAATGGATAATTTTCTCCATAGATACTTACATTGTTCAACATCTCACCATTACAGAAACTTCAAGAAATTAAACATTTGATTTCACTGCTGCATACATTGCAAGTGCCTAGAACAGAACCTGGTCCACTGAAAGAATTTACTTGGCATTTTCCAAGTAAATAAATGAAGATAGAAATCATTGGAACTTTCAAGACTAATCTCCCTTGTATCCCTAATTGCCCGTGGATATTTAGTCACTTGAACTCACAAGTTCACACTGACATTAAAGGAAGTGAGTTGAAATGTGCTTTCACTGATACACACTCCAAATAATTTTTCTTGGTTAATTGAGTTGAGATTTATATAAATTTATCATTCATTGTAAAGTTTTTATTGTTTTAAAATCATCTTAAGATTATTAAAAAAAAAACATCATCAAGACAGTTTCTAGCCCAATGATACCTAGTGTTCCCAACTCACAGAATGGAGGTGCCTTGACAGATAGGGTTATGTGAAATAATTTATGTTTGAATTTCCAATGTTTCCCTCAGGGTGGGGTACCCAAGTTATATATGTTGAATTTAAACATGCTCTAATTTTGAATATTGCTTTTTCCTAGCCCTCAAATTTGATGTTAAATAAATGTTTTCAAATTCTTTACCTGAAAAATGCAAGCAATATCTTAATAATTGGGCTATGAAATTTGCTTAAAATTCAAAATCAATGCATTTAGATCAGGACCTAAGTTATAGTAATTTCTGAGTAAACGTTAATTATTCTTATTAATGCTTAGTGGACATGCTTTTTCTGTTTTATTCTTTCTCCTCTGCTCTATATTCTGAAGATCCACACAGAACAATTCTCCCTCTGACAAATAATAGATCTCTCTCTCTAACCTTCTTCCATTTCGCAACTTTGACTTAATATCATTGGCTTCTTGCTGATCCATAGACACTTAACTTCTCTTGTTTATTCTGACCAGAGCATCTTCCCTGCATTGGTGTGACATTTATCCTTTCTTCCAATCAGTTCTATACACAAAACGTCTCATAGAGACTGTTCTGGTCTCCTTGTGTACAGTAGCCCCATGTGTACCTTTAGCTTCTGTTACTGCCCATTGTGCTCATCTTTGAACTGTATATATCTATGTATTTATTGACTATCTTAGCACTTAAATATGTAACTTTGAATAGTGTGGGCAGAGGAAGAAACATTTTAATGTTTAATTAAAAATTTTACCAAAGACTGGGCATGGTGGCATATGCCTTTAGTCCTAGGGCTTGAGAGGCAGAGGCAGGTGGATCTCTGTGAGTTCCAGGCTATCGTGGACTACAAAGACATTTTCAGAACAGCCAGGGTAGTTACACAGAGAAACCCCTTCTCAAAAAACAAAACAAAACAAAACAAACAAACAAAAGAATTATCTCCAATAATTGTTTGCAAACATAAAAAGTTAATTTGATATTGCCTTATTTTAACTTTACAAAGTTTTTAGCCATAATATCTGTATTCTCACTTATTTGTATGTCAAGATTAAATTATTCTATAATATCAAAGAATTTATCTTTAATGACCTTAAAACATATGAATATTAAAATAGAATCACCCATAGCCCAATACACAGATGTATTTGTTGAGTCTCAAACTAAATCACTTTGGTTCTAGGATTAATGATATTTCTGTTATGATAATAAAAAGTATTCTAAGCTATGATTCCCATACTTTTAAATATTTATTATACTTCATTTGATTTTGATACACCTTCTGTGAAATTTCTATTGCTAATACAAATAGAATGATATAATAAATATTAAATGAAAATGTAATTTACTTGAATATTTTATGAAATTCTAACATTCCAAAGAATAAAAATTCAAAAAGACATATCAGAAGATTACATTGCTTTGGTGAGGAGATAGCCAGATTTTATAAACAGCATGTTTCACTTAAAATTTTTTCTGAGATTATTTTGAAATGTTTTGTCTCTTTGACCTCGTAGGTATTTGACTATGATTTTGGACTGCAAGATGACTTTATGGGCTCAGCCTTTCTCGATCTCACACAATTGGAGTTAAACAGGTAATTCAACAGTTGTAACATTGCTATGCCCCATTACAGAGTTGGTCTGTGATATCAGAAACCCCACTCAGTACATATTCCTGTTGATGTCCTTTTGTCACCAGTCAGGCGAATTCCAACTCATCACCCATTCTTACTTACCCATGGGCTCTCAACATCTTCCCTGACTTCCTCATTCAATAGCAACTATTTTCTTAAAAATATTATTGGCAAGCCGGGCATTGGTGGCACATGCCTTTAATCCCAGCACTCGGGAGGCAGAGGCAGACAGATCTCTGAGTTTGAAGCCAGCCTGGTCTCCAGAGCGAGTGCCAGGATAGGCTCCAAAGCTACACAGAAAAACCCTGTCTCGAAAAACAAACAAACAAAAAATATTATTGGCTACCTTCCCTGTCCCCTAGCACTATGCTAGGAGAGACAGGATACATTCTTTAATCTCACATGGTTTAGTTGGGATTTGGCATAAAGACTGTAATTAGTACCTCACAAGCAAGTTGTTACATACTTTGCCTCAAAATCAGCAAATCTCCCATCACTTAAATATAGAACTGACTTTTGCATCACAGTTTACCATCACCAGATCTCCAGATATAGGGTACCAAGTAGTAGAGTTAGGTTGGTTATATTTGTTTAGTTTCATTGTCATTTGTAACATTACTCAATCCCTGACAATAGGCATGGAGTTTTCAAAATACATTTTGTCATAGGAACTAAGAACTGACTAAAAAGTAGAAGAAAAAAATAGGCTTCAAAATGAAATCTTTGATAGTTGCAAATGGAATTTCTTTCTTGAATGATCACATTACATCAGGTGACAGGGGAGACAGGAAAGTAGTGTCATAGGCTAGACTCCTATTTCCTTTTTGTATGAATACAGATGAATAGAGGAATGTACATGGTAGAACCTCTATGCATGCTGTAGTAAGCTAACTTTGAGCATAGAATCAGCTTTAGTGGTCTTCCAGTTTATTGATTCACTGATTGCTTTTGCATCAGGGGCAAACAAAAGGGCAGCCTTTGCTGTCTTCCTACATTGGCTGGACCTGAGGATAGAACTTAGGTGACTGCTGGTTCTCTCCCTTTAGAGGACATGTTCTGAGTTGTGGTGTCTGTGCTCTGTTATCATGAGCACTGATGCAAACTGAAATGGACTCTGATGGTCTCTTCAAAGGCTACAATTACATTTTCTGTAAACTACTACATTAACTATATGCAAATTATAAGACTTAAAGCATAAATTTCTCTTGTTCCTTATTAAAAATAAATCATTGGTGAAAATAATTTTAAATGAAGAATTATAGAATTAAAGAACCTTAAAGAGATTATAAGCAAACATTTCAGGTATACTTAGGTATGTTGCTTATTTTGTGTAATTCATTATCCACTACCACCCTAAGGACACGTACATATCGGATGATCACTTAGTGACCTCATAAGCTTTAGAATGCTGTTTCAGCGTGTATACAATTCAAGGATGTCAAAAATGGATATTAATGACAGCCATGTAAATGTGTGCTGCTATAGATAATATTGGGGTATCTCCTTAAAAGAAAATAATAATCTAGTTTCATTCTTCCACATGTAGCTATCCAGCTTAACCAGCCAAACAAAAAACACAGTATAGAGGGGAAGGAGATGAGAAAACCCAACAGATGAGAAACTTAGAACTTAAACACATGGTTAATTTGGTATGTCACAGTTATTTTCCATCAGCTCTTTGAGTGTTTATTGGTTAATAACTTGATAGCAATTAATGAATTAGAATAATCTATTCCTTATTAATGTGGGCTTTTTTCTCTTTTAAAATAATTTTTTAAATTTCATTTTACATTCCAATCACAGTTCTCCCTATAACCCTTCCTCCCACTCCCCTCAGCAACCCCACAATTCCTCCACCTCTCCCAAAAGGTAAGATCTCCCATGGGAGTCAATTAAGTCTGGGGCAGGACCAATCCCCTCCATGATGCATTAAGGCTGAGCATGGCATCCCACCATAGGGAATGAGCTCCAAAAAGCCAGTTCATGCACCAGGGATAGATAGGTCTACTGCCAGGGGCTCCTCAGATAGTCTAAACTTCATAATTGTCTCACACATACTGAAGGCCTAGTTGGGTCCCATGGAGGCTTCACAGCTGTTGGTCTAGAGTTATTAACTTGGATCTTAATGTTTATTTTACTGTAGATATTTTCCTTTTGGGGGGAATTATTCAAACTAAATGACATAAATATTTTATTTTGGTTTTGCAAAACAGGGTTTCTCTGTAGCAGCCCTGGCTGTCCTGGAACTCACTTTGTAGACCAGGTTTGTCTTCAACTCACAGAGAACCTCTTGCATCTGCCTCCTGAGTTCTTGGATTAAAAGCATGTACCACCATGCCTGGCTTGACCTAAATATTTTTAAAATGAAAGAAAATAATAAGAATCTCATAAAGCAACTGTAGATGTTCCCAAATCTCTTTAAAGTGATTCTAAAAATATGACTTTTTAAGTTTTTGATATTTGTAATTTAATTAAATGTTTCTTCCTTCCTTCTCCTCCCTCTAAGCCCCCTTATATACCTCTTCCTTCTTCCCTTCAAATTCATGGCTTCTATTTCACTAATTTCTGCACATATACGTATTACTATGTACATATGCATGCTCAATATGTTCAGTCCATACAATAGTACTTGTATGTATGTTTACAGTGCTGACTATTTGTCACTGGACAACTAGTCAGTGTGCTCTTTCCTGTTTCCAGATTTTCTTCATTGTTTATACAGTTTTTTGTGTAGGTTTGAGGCCTTGTGGGTTATTTCTCTTTCCAGTTTGGCATGTTCACAATTGTCATCCTTGTTAAGATCATGGGTAATCATGTTGACAGGAATTTATGGGTATAGCTTCTGATGTTGCTAGGAGACTCGATCTCACAACCAATTCTCCAATCTTCAGGATGTTAAAATTTTCCATTTCTCTGTCACAATGTTTCCTGAGCCTTAGGTATAGGAGTGTTTTGTACATGTATCCACTGGGACTGGACTTTAGAACTCTGCATTTTTATTGATTGTGACTTTTCACAATGGCCCCCATCTATTGAAAAGAAAAGTTTTCTTAATGAGCGTGAAGACTACAATTGTCTGTGGGTATAAGAGTAAGTGTTTATAGGTTATTAGGAATTATGCTGCTTTAGTAAATTAGGGGTTGTAGATTTTCTCCAATAACAGTGACTCATTAGCACTGAGGAGTTAGCTGGGTTTTCAGTTCCAGGCATAATCTTCCTTTTCTTTAATGATTCTTTTTTTATTTAATTTTTTTACTTTTATTTTTTTAAAATTCAAAACAAGCTTCTTTTACATGTCAATCCCAGTTCCCTCTCCTTCTCCTCCTACCCTGTCCCCCACAACCCCCCTATCCCATCCCCTTTCTGCTCCTCGGGGAGAGTGAGGCCTTCCATGGGGTAGGAGATCAAGACCAGGATGGAGAAACCCACCAAAACAGCTGACCTGAACAAGAGGTTATTCATGGACCCCAGACTGAAAGCTGAGAAACCAGCATAGGACTGTTCCAGACTCTCCTGAATGAGGATGTCAGTTTGGAGGTCTGGTTAATCTATGTGGTCACTGGTAGTGGATCAGTATTTATCCCTAGTACACAAATGGACGTTGGGATCCCAATCCATATAGAGGGATACTCTCTCAGCCTAGACACACAGGGGAGGGTCTAGGCCCTCCTCCAAATGATATGACAGACTTTGAAGATCCCCCATGGAATGAGTCTTAATTCCAATTAAAGAGGTGTTGGTTAGTGCCAAGCAATGTGTGCTACTCCAGCAACCTTGGGGTTATTATGTTATGATAGTTGTTGATGGGTTTATCGGTATATCTAGGTAGGACTGTTGGTTCTCTCCCTTCTTGGGAATCTTGCACCATTCCTTCTAGTACTATGAAAGCTAGTTCTCAGACAGAGGCTGTCAGATCAGTTCCATCTCAGAGGTCTCTGGGCCCTGTGTCTGAAGTGCTTGGTGTCTTCAGCAATAAGGGCTTAGCCTTCCACCTCTTGGAGGAAAACAAGAGCAACAGCAATAGGTTATGTGTTTGGGTAGTCTCTTGTGCAGACCTGGGCAACCACTCAAAAGAGGGCTTCTGATATCTGGTGTTGTGGTTTTGTGGTTTCTTAGCCCAGGTGAGAAAAGTTCATTAAATCTGTACATGTATATCTATACATGAAATTATATGTATTATACCTACCATTTTTCTATATTTACTTTCCTACCCCTTCCCTAAAGAGTCCCCACTTTCCCCATTTCCCTATCAGAATATTTGTATCATGCTATTCCCTTTACCCTCCTCCCACCTTCTTCTGTATTTACCTCACTCCTTCATCCCTAAAAAGATTCTCCCTTTCCCATTTTCCTGATCAGATCAATTGTACTCTTCTTTTTCCTTCCCTATTGATCCCCAGCCTCCCACCTATTCTAGCAATGATTCTATTTTACTGTCATAGTGCCTGTAGTTACTGCAGGCTATGTACTCACATTAGACGATGTGGAGCTAGGAGCCTTCAATACAAAAGAACATGCAGTATTTTTCTCTGGGTGTGGGTTGCCTCACTCAATGTGATTTTTCTACTTTTCCCCATTTACCTGCAAAATTCATAATTTCATTTTTCTTTACAGCTGAATGGCATTCAATAGCACATTTGTACTGCATTTTCATTATCCATTTGTTGGTTGTAGGGCATCTGGGTTGTTTCCATTTCCTATCCGTAGTGAATAAAGCAACAATGATCATGGTGGAGCAAGAATCTTCAGAGTAGAATGTCAAGTGAGCATATGCCAAGGAGTGGTATAGCTGGGTCATATGGTAGATTTATTTCTTAACTTTTTAAGAACTTTCCCCAGCGATCTTCATAGTGGCTACACTAGTTAGTAATCTCATCAACAATTAAAAGGACTCCCCTTTCCCCACATCCCTTTAGCATGTGTTGTTGGTTGTTCCATTGATTTTTGCCATTCTGAATGGAATAAAATGAAATTTCAAATTTGTTTTTATGTTCATTTCCCTTATTGCTGGGACTGGTGAACATGTGGGGTAGATATCTCTTAGTCATTTCTTCTTTTGAAAACTCTATTCAGGTCCCAGACCCATTTTTCTAATGCACCATTTTTTGACTGTTTGCTTTTGAGTTCTTTGTATATGCTGAATATTAGTCTTCTATCAGATGTATAGCTGGCAAAGACTCTCCTAATCTGTGGGCTTCCTCTTCACTAGACTGATATTTTTAACTGTGAAGAAATTTCTAGTTTAATGAGTTCCATTTATCAATGGTTGTCCCTAATTCTTGCCACATGGAGTCTTATTTACAAAGTCTTTTCCTACACCTGTATCATGTAGGGTCCTGTGCATGCTTTCTTCTAGCAGTTTCAGTGTTTCAGGCTTCATGTTTAAGTCTTTGATGAATTTGGATTTAGTCGTTGTGGAAGGTGATAGATACAGATCTAATTTCATTCTTCTGAATGTGGACATCCAATTTTCTCAACAACATTTCTTGAAGATGCTTTTTCTCCATTGTATGATTTTGGTGTCTTTATCAAATATTAAGTGGCTGAAGTTATATGTGCTCATGTTTAGCTCTTCAATTTTGTTCCATTGGTCTACATGCTTGTCTGGGTAGCAGTACCATATTGTACTTATTATTATCACTGTGTAATATATCTTAAGATCTGGAATTGTGGTCACTCCAGCATTAATGAAAAATTTTGATTTATTTTATAAGTATTCACTATATGAAAAGGAATCTAATCAAATTTCAACCACAAATATGTATATAATGCATCAATACACTACAATACCAAATACACTTTTGTTTAGAAAGACAAGTTGATATTGGGATACAGCTTAGATCGCAAAATGTTTGTACAAGGGTAAGACATGAGTTTTGATCTCTAGAATCCATGAAACAAGTTGTGCACAGTGATACACAACTATAATGCCAGTACTGAAGAGCTAGAAACAGGTAGATTCCTGGAGCCCATGGGCCAGCCAGCCTAAACAAGTAGGTGAAAGGCCTCATTGGTGGTCCAATTAGAGACCTTGGCTCAAAAGTTTAAGTTGGCAGTGATTGAAGAAGATGCCTGTCATCAACACCTAGCGTCTACTACACTCACAATTGTATTCCAGCACCATCACTACCCTGCTGACACACATGCACACAATCACTCATACATATACATATATACATGAATAATTAATAAAGACCACTTGTTGCTATCAAATTGTAATGATTACTTATAGCTAAATTAATGTTGAAAACAATTTGCAGACAGATTGCATATGATTTGATTAAACCTATGATATGACAAAATAGTTCACATTTCCACATATGATAATACCTTAACTTAATGTATTAAATATCATGTGACAAAGTACCTGGTACCATGATACTCACATTAAAAATTGTCTATGTTCTATAATCCTGGATGTGTGAGAAAGTCATTTGGCAGGGCACTTTAGAAGCATAGAGACATCTAATCCACTCCTCCACCCAGTTCTAATCCCCACCACTCATCCACAGATTATTCAGAGGTGAACTTCAAGACACACACACACACACACACACACACACACACACACACACAATCAATCACACACAATCAATCACACAAAACAGAAAAATAATGAAAACTGATAGATAAGACTGAAATTTTTCACTTGGGCCGTATTTAACCTAAATGTCTATTCACCATATCAGAACTAAACTACTAAAATTGAAGTTTTGTGGACACAGGAATTCCCTTGGTTTTGATCTCTGGTTTTTACTAAAACCCAGAGCACCACGAGATACTTACTATGTACTCAGTGCTCTCTTTGTGAGCACAACAAAAAATTGGATGAACAAGAAAACAAGAAAAGATGTTTTATTGCCAAGCATCCTATGATTCTTTTGTTTAGTGTTCCATGTTCTACAGAAACTGGTTTGTGGTGGCTCATGAGCCCTGTCTGTTCAGTATTAATTGCAATAGGCAAGTAAGATGTTATCTATGCATTCTCAATTAAATGTCTACTTTCTTTACTTCTTTTTTTGTGGTTTCTCTGTATTGCTTTGAAGGTTGTCCTGGAACTCACTCTGTAGACCAGGCTGGCCTCAAACTCACAGAGATCGGCCTACCTCTGCCTCTCCAGTTCTGGGATTAAAGGGTGAGCCACCAATGTCTAGCTTAATTTCTTTACTTCTTAAAAGTGACTTGTGTATACTAAATTATTCATCCTCTCTTCCTCAGAAATACTTATCCAAATCAAAATATAAATTCTTCATTGTCCAACTCTAAGTAATATTTCTGTTATTGTTTTGGGCACAGGTTCACAAGTCCCAAACCAAAAGCATTATTTTAAATATCTGCTGTTCTTTTTCTTTGTTTTTGTTTTTTGTTTTTCGAGAAAGGGTTTCTCTGGGTAGCTTTGGAGCCTATCCTGTCACTTGCTCTGTAGACCAGGCTGGCCTTGAACTCACAGAGATCCACCTGCCTTTGCCTCCCCAGTGCTGGGATTAAAGGCATGCACCACCAACAACCAGCACTGCTTTTCTTTCAAATAATTATATGTTCCCTTAAAATATATGCATAAAATACGTGAAGCAAGTTATATTTTATATACTTCCTCTTCACGTTTGTTTATTTTAAATAATTACCTGTTTAAATAAAAAGGCACATAACTAAGAGTGGTAGAGATAAATGACTTTCAGTTGCTGGGCTTCAAGTACAAAAAAGAGCTGGACTTCTCCTTGTGAGCTCACAGGTCATATAAAGGGGATTCATAGATCTTTGAATAGTTTTGTTTCTTTCAGCAACCCTGTGGAACCTCAGAAAGTGAAGAAATTTGCCCAATGAATTCAAGCACCTCCACAGACATGAAGCTTACTAGATGATTTAATACAACACTATTTTGAAAACAAAAACTGTACTAAGAAATCAAAAGAGTAAAAACTTTCTTGAACAGTGATTTATTGATTAAAATAATTTGGGGATTATTCATTCAATGACTATTTCTAATCTAAATATTATATATCACAGGTCCACGGATGTATCCTTAACTCTGAAAGATCCCCATTACCCTGACCATGACCTTGGAATCATTTTGCTGTCAGTCATCCTTACCCCTAAGGAAGGAGAACCCAGGGATGTGGTAAGTCTTCCAGAGCTCTTCTTGCTCACACTTGCTCATATGCAGAGAACCTTCTCAGGAGATAGAGGGATAACGGCAGATGCACATGAAACTCTAGCCCACTCTTGGTTGCTGTGAGTACCTGGGTAGAACTAGAACTCATCCATGCTCATTTTGTCTTTTCAACTGAATTTTCCTGTCTCATACTCCAGATCAGAACCTCTTGTTGTAAATAAGAAGATTTACATCCCTTATAATTTTATTAATCATTTTCAGACATGTTTTATTGTAGGCATTCTTTCAGGGAATACATTGATTAGTGAATTGAATATTTGGAATTCCCATGGAGATGCCCACGACTCTACTATTTTTGACTATATTGCCAAAATGTGTCATGACAAGGAAACTAAGGTGAAATTATAACAGAGTTTCTGCTTTCTGGTGATTGTTTACTGAATAAATGTGTATTCTTCATGTTTTTGATGGGCTTCCATGATACTTCTCACATCTCAGTACTATTTGTACTTCCTTGCACACCATGCTGCTATGAGAAATGAAGCTGCAGAGGAAGCTGTGACTTCCACACTATTGGAGTAACCTGAGAAGTGTCTGGTGTGATCCATATCAGTGCGCTTGCCAGTGTACCTCTGTGATTCACTTCTGTGTGCTTGCTGGTGTAGTTCTGCCACAATTTGCCATAGATGTATAATTGTTGGGGGCTCCCCAAAAAGCTCTTTCAGTAATGCCTATATTCCTGTTTAAAAAAATAATGTGCCATTCAAGTTGGTATATGTTATTTATTAAATATATGGCTAACATTTTAATCAAGACCATGGCTAAGAATAGTGCATCCCAACTTCAAAAATTTAAGGTTTTTTTTTTAAACTCACCAAAGAAAATTCACCCCTTTAAGAAGAATTTCTTTCTATTCATAAAAATTAATCGATTGGCAAACAAGGTCATGTACATTATTCTAAAACTTTATTTACTAGGGAAAACCTACTTTTTCAAATATTAACAAGTCTTACTACATGGCACCTGCTGTGAGAAGATAGCATGGTAGGGCTGCATATACTTGTGTGCAGATGGAGTTGTAGCTGAGGAGGAATGTGTGGCATGGTGTGGCTGAGTACACATGGCACCTACTATGAGACCATGGCCTTGTGTGACTGCTGTACACATGTACAGATGGATGCTGGTGAGGTAGAAGGTGACATGGTATGACTGCATATACATGTGTGCAGACAGAGTGGTAGCCAAGGAAGAATATGGCCTGGTGTGACTAAGTACACTGAACACCTGCTATGCGAACATGGTGTAGATGAGTACATATAGCACCTACTGTGAGAACAAGGTGTGACAAAGTATACATATCACCTGCTGTGAGGACAAGGTATGACTGAGCATTCATAGCCATAGTGTGAGAATATAGTGTGAATGAGTACACATAGCATCTACTGTGTGAACATGGTGTGACTTAGTACACATAGCATCTGCTGTGTGAACATGGTGTGACTGAGTATACATAGCCATAGTGTGAGGACATGGTGTGAATGAGGATACATAGCACCTGCTGTGTGAACATGGTGCGACTAAGTACCCATAGCCTTGCTGTGAGATCATGGTGTGAATTAGTATATGTAGCACCTGCTGTGTGAACATGGTATGACTAAGCACACATAGCACCTACTGTGTGAACATGGTGTGACCAAGTGCACATAGTGCCCGCAGTGGGAACATGGTGTGAATGTGTATATAGAGCACCTTCTGTGTGAACATGGTGTGAATGAGAATACATAGTGCCTGCTGTGAAAAAAAAGTGTGACTAAGTACACATAGCACTTGCTGTGAAAACATTGTGTGGTTGAGTCTCTACAGCACCTGCTTGAAAACATGGTATGACTAAGAACATATAGCACCTGCTGTGAGGACATGGTGTGAATGGGTATACATAGCACCTGCTGTGAGGACATGGTATAGCTGAGTGAGTACTCATAGCTTATGGGATGGAGGGATAGCTGAGGAAAAGTTTCTCAAAGAATGTTGTCATTTACAGGGAAAGTCCATCAGTTAGAAGTCACCAGTTACAGAAACCAGGAAGTAAGTTCTAGATGGCTAGTCAATCATTGGGAGTACATTCTAAATGTTCATTTTATAGTTTACTTAAATAATTCAGATGTTCACCTGAAGCCTACTGTAAGGCAGCTCCTATGCTGGCACTTAGGATACATCAGTGCTTCACTGAGACAAAAGAAGGTGACAACTAGTTTGGTGTTATGAAAGAAAAACACATACCTAGAAAGAACAGAAAAACAGGAAATTTGTCCCAATCAGTGTGGGCCTAGGATTCTCTAAGGAAGTCATGTGAAAACTGAGGTAGGAAGTATTGATAGGAATTAAAGACAAACAAAACTCAAGGAGAGAAGTATTTGAGGAAGAAGAAGGAACACATACAAAGACGCTGTGGCTAGAGAAGCACACTACATTCCAAGAACTGAAGAGATAGAGGAGCTTATGGGAGACAGAGTAAAGACTGGCAGCCATGGTACAGAGTGGAAGACAGATGCCTAGACTGTGGAGGGCACATTGTCCATGGTAAGATTTGTGACCTTTATCCAAATAGCAATGAAACATTTTGGCAAGGTCTGCAAATGGGAAATTGACTGTATTTGCCTGTAAAATAATCTTATCTCTTTTCATACGTTAGAAAACGTGTTAAAGGCATGGATTCTGATTAGGAAGCTATTGCACAAAGCCTACATGAAAGATGAAAAGGTTCTAATTAGAGCCCTCAGAGGGGAGATGGATGGGATTGACAGGTATGCCTGCAAGAGGATAAAAACAAGCCAAGAAAATTCAGTGACAGAATATTCCTGTGTTGGTGTTCTTTGCTATTTTAATTCAGAGCAGCACTTCATAAATGTAGATAACTGGCGCCCAAAGTCCCATGTATCCCTGGACCACCCATACTTGCAGTATTATTAGACTTAGATGGTGTGGCTGCCGGTCATTTGATGATGGGTAGTCAGGAAAATTTCTCCATTAAAAGAACCATTTTAAATACCCTAGCATCAACCTGAGGACTCAAGGGATTGAGTAGGTTATCAAGGTAGCAACAAAGAAGTTACTAAGTTACTCTGAATTGGAACGAAATGCAAGCACTGACAAAGATTCTTCTCACATTATTTATTTTCAACACTCCTGGAACCCACTCCCCAACCTCAGTGTCTTCCAAAGCTTACATCACAGATGTCATGCATTTCTAACTACAAAAAAATCATAGCAACTAAAAACTGACCATCAGTGACTTCTTACATATGTGAAGGAAATCAATGAGTAATAGAAAACTTATTCATCAAAAACCCATTTAATTTATCTTTATTTCCTTCTCTTCATTGTTTATTTCTAGCCACACTCACCTTGGACATGAAGATTTTCTCCTAAAAACTATTATGCTATTTCCATAACTCAAATTATTTTGACTATTTGTATTTGAGCAATTTCCTTGCTGCTTGTATTCACTGCCCTACTCCATGCCTTCTACTTTCAGAGTCTCCATTTGTGCTGGATTATTCTGCTGCCCACATGGGAAATGGTGCATTCTTCCATCCTGTTACTAATTCCCCTTGTCCCTCTTCAGAGAAACAAATGTTTCAGGTAGAACTAAGCCAGGGCTCCAGAGCAACACCACAGTCAGCCTCTGGATGTGATACTCCTGGACTCCTCATCCTGACCTTGGTCACACCCCAGGAGGGAGAGCAGAGTGAGCCCAGTGGCTATCCTAACTCATCCTCATGGTTGTGATCAACAGTAAAGCATGTGCTTGGCAGTAGAGAGCCAAGATAGTGGATGGAGAAAGTTAAAATAGAGAAAATAGGCAAGTCTACTGGGATATGGTATTTCAGATATTCTAATACCCTATATTATATTGAAATATGAATTTTTAAATGTATGCCTATAAATGCATAGAATTTTTTGAGATTTTGCTTTTTATTTGACCTAAAGAATTGTTCTATGGATACCTGTTCAAGCTCTTTGTGTCCAGTTATATTAAGCAACAGGACTTTCTAAGTTTTAAAATTCTGAACCAAATCATAGTGCAATAGTTAGTAATCAACTACAAAGAGGATGAAGTCCTGCCTTTTACAGTCATGTGGATGGAACTGGACATTAATGAAGATAAGGAACACATACTAATCCCACTCATGTTTAGAACCAAGTTATCTCATAAAACTGGAGAGTAGAATGGTGATTCAGTTTGTGGGAGAGAAGGATGGGAAGGATTCGTCAATGAGAAAATGACAATTTGAAGCAAGTACTTCTGATGTACTGGCACACAGTAGGGTGATTATAGCCATAAATAATATGCTGCATATAGAAAGGAATTTAAATATTTCCATCAAATGATAAATGCTTGTAGATATAGCTATGCTGATTTGAACGACAATGTATACATGCTATATAAACATCCCAGGGTTTGTAAATATATGTAGTGTGTATATTAATTAAAAATATTATTGCTTATTTACCAAACTTCTTTAAGTCACTTACCTTTTTAACTGTTGAAAGAGTTGTTTCAACAATAAATGGAAACTCCCAATTAACAGCTTTGCAACAAGCAGCATATGTTCTCTCACTTATAGCTTCTAGTCACATAAACTCCTCCACAGTTTGCCTCTCAAGTCCAATCTGTCATTGTGTTGTCTGTGTTGCCAAAATTTCACGTCACCTTCATCTTATATAATTTCCTCTTGAGGAGTGGCATATGTATAAGGTACATTCTTTACATATATATTATAATAGTACATCTGTAAGTCTGCAAAAATGGTTTTGTAATGGCATTTCTTAAATCCTAGTCTAGCATCCTGTACCTAGTGGTTGTTCAATGTCTTAGAGGTGTGTCTGTGATAATTTGAAGGAATGCTTCAAAGAATGGGGGTGGTATTCTCATGTTATTTTTATTCTAACTTTAAAAGTCAAGTCATTGTGGTTGCTACAAAGTCCATTATGTCATGATTAAATTATGAAGTAACTTCCTTTGGTAAATCTTAAAATTAGTGTTTTAATGCTTAGCTGTATTGTCCTTCTCATACTAGCAAAGTGTAATCTGGGATACATTCTGAATGTAGAACATACCACTTCAGTGAAATTGGCATGTTGAACTTGCACAAATTACACAGGAACAGCTCTTACTCAAAAAGAAATTCGGACTTAAACCCTGTAACTATCAATGGTGGGATGCCCCATAGTCTCTGTCACTGTGAATGATGCATAGAGAGGGAGTGGAGGGTGACTTTGCTCCTCCATACACAACAACATGAGAAGAAGGTTTCAGTTCTCTTTGTTTAAGAGCTCAGAAATGATGTATTTGGGGCTTTTGGGACAGAGACTTTAGTTCAACAACAACACATTTTTTATCTCTATTTACAAATGCTTGCTAAATATTTTACATGAATTAAAACAGACAAAGGATGAGATGAGTTTCTAAAGCTTTAACAAATATGTCCTAACATTTGAGTAGGAAGTGGAATACTTACAGTCAGGAAGAACTGGATATACAGCGTACTTAGTATCATAGAGCCCTAAGACTTCTAAACCAGCTGTTTTGTGAGTTGAATATGCACCATTAAATACTGACAATGTATTCCATGAATAATGCAGTTGACATGATTTCTTCTTGTGTGGCTTGCCACTTCTGGAAATCAGTCAATCGAAGAATAAGTTAAATAACCAATCAGACCACTTACTAAAACCTTGACAACACATAACATCTAATTACAGCAATTTAAGATATGTGGAAAGACTACAAGCAAATTTATTTCATAGTTGCCAATATAAAAATCTGCATTGAATACATGATTGAGTGTATTTTTAAAATTTCCAGATGTGGACAGATATGTATACATCTATTTTTGAGTCCCCAGCATTTTTTGTGTGTGTTTAAGAAGCCAAAGCCTCCATGGGCAGCTTGTAGCTGGCTGCCTGGCACACCTATCATTTATGTTTAGACTGCATGTTCTGTTTTGAATCTGAAAAAGTATGTTATACATACATGTGTGTCCTATATGTGGTATTTTTGTTTGACAGTGTGTTTGAGTTCTTTCTGGCTCTTTTTCTAGCAGAGTTCAATCCAAAGCTTTCTTCATTGGAGAATTTATGACATAAAAGTGAGTTAATTTGTGTTATGCACTCTCTTTGATAACATAGAGATATGCATCCTTGGCTAAGGTTGAAAATTAGAAAATCTATAGAAACATATGAATTGATACTATGTTGCCTTTGATGAGTTAAAAACAATTTTTATACATTAACTTTGATATGTCTTATAACTTTCATATAATGTTTGAAGACATCTATTTATGAAATGTTGAATGTGTATGCTTTATAAGAAGTGTATACTATCTATCTGTTCTGTGCTTTTTTGTATGCATATTAGCAGAATAATATATTAAAAATCACAACAAAAGGAAGTTAAAATGAGATTGTAAAAGTTTTTTAAAGCAGTTGCTTTACAATTCTATCATTGACCATATTTTTACATCACTTATTCCTTATTTTGGCTTCAAGGAAGGTTGAAATGCTAATGAAGAACCTAAATTGTGCTGTATTAATAAACACTGACACGTTAAAAACCTAATTCATATGTTTCTTAGCTGAAGTTACAACCATTGAGCAAAACTTAAATCTTGTATTTCCAGAATTTACTTTGTTTTTTATCTTTAACATTCCCTGACCTTTCTTCTTTAATAGATTTCATAGTTATCAAGAATGGCCACATCAATACTTCATTTATTGAGTTCATTTGTTTATTTTTTTAACCTTTCTACTGAATTACTGCAATAGAGTCTTCTTTAACCGAAGTATCAAAAAATGGAAAAAGAACTTTGTGTGGGGCATTTCGTAAATTGATAAGCTAATAGGTTTGGCTAATGAGGCAGAATTTTTGTTATAAAATTTGGGGCCATTTTGACAGTCTACAGCAGATCTACAGCAGAATTTTTGATACTGATTCAGGAGAATGAACTGGCCCTGTAGCTGCCAAATCATGGCTGTTTTCCTTGTATCAGCTTCCCAGTTGAAAAATACAACCAAAATTTGAGAGACATAGAAAAAGCAGAGTTGTATTTTGTTCTGTTTTCTATATCAGAAGTGAATTGTGTGCACTGTTTCAGCTGTTCTGTGCAGAAGCATGTGACCCTAAATGTTGTCAATGTTGCCAAGACAGTCCACCCTTCTTAATATTCTTATCCTGCTTTCATAGCCCAATACCTCTTACAGAATCAATTTTATAGGATCCTTAGATGCTTAATGATGCTGATAAATGACCACTAGTTAAGGTGTTTTAATCTTTATTTCTTTATTCTAATTGTTTTTACTTGTTTTGACTCATAATGCTGTCTCTAAAAATTGTCATAATCAAATGCATAATCAAACCTTTGTTATTGGACTTTTGACTGGGGAGCTGTTGTATGGTTAACCACTAAAGAATTTGGTTGCACATGACCTTTGGTGATATGGAGAATGTGATCATGTTATTGTTGTTCATAATGAAAATCACTCACCTAACATCAATATTCTATTAGATGTCCACCATGTCTGTTTCTTCAACCTAGTGATTGGATGTAGTGCTTCAGAATGAATTGGACCTTAGCACTTAGAAAATATAAACTATCTGTTTTCTAGTATTTGATAAAAATGATTTGTTGTTTCCCAATTTTACTTGAAAATCAGAGAAGTGTATTTTTATAATCTTCAGAAATGTTTGGGTCAATAGAATAATTGAAAGCAACATAGGACCTGTCTTTGGGAATGTTACCATTCTATTTCCTACTCTAAAGTTGCTACATAATTACATTCCCCCTTCAGGTCAAAAATGGCTTAATATTTTTTATGGAATATCATATTTACTAGGAGAGAAATCAAATTTCAAAATAGACAAAACAATGTTTATCACTGTAAATATGTGACAGAGAACAACTGAGGAATTTTGGGCTGACATCGAAAGCCTCAGAAAATGGCTTAATCTTATGTGAAGTATTTTCTGTAGTTTCATGAGGCATGAGTGCATGAGTGTTTTCTAGAATGGATCTTCTTCATAGTGAGTTCTGATGAAAGAGATGGAACTCTTATCATTGATGTAGTTCCCTAACACTGACATTCTAAGCTTCTCTAGAACCACAGTATCCCCCAAACATTCTCCACTTTCCTCTTCATCTGCCTTAAAGACAACCATAAGACATGGTAGGGCAAAGAGGAAGGTTTACATGTAGGTGCCTCAGGGAAATGTTTAATAGTAAATAGGAGAATTATTTAAATTTGGGGCTCTTTATGTTTTGCTTTCTGCAAATGCAAGAGACCAATGGTCTTAAAAACACTTGTAACAAATCTCCAGAAGCTTAATTAAAACATTTAGCCAAGCCAACCTCTCATTGTGGCATAAACAGAATATTATAAAGGATACATTTTAGTAAAAACAAATTAAGCGGTCATTTTTCTGAGTTTGGAACATTGTAGACAATGATACAGTTAAATGTATAAATGTTTCCATAATGTGGCAAAGCAATAGGCTTTAAATGTCGGTTGAAGAAAAAATGCTATATACCCAATTAAGTCAAGTATATCCCTAACCAGCACCTCCAAAAGGCACAACCTTGAAGGTCAATTTGCACTCTTCATTCACAATTAATTAATTAATTCAAATTCCAAGTCTTCTATTATATTTAAAATATACTGTCGAACTTCTTCATACAAAGAATAATGCAAGTGATCTCTCAGCAGAAACTGTTTGGACGTTAAAGATTCTCTCTCTCCTCTCTCTCCTTCCCTCCCTCCACTCTCCCTCCATTTAATTTCCCCCACCCCACTGTGTGTGTGTGTGTGTGTGTGTGTGTGTGTGTGTGAAGCAGTCTTGTGTTGCTGGAAACATTTTGCTATTTAAAGGGCTAATAAATGTTACATGTCCCCTAACAAACAATGGCTGCCCTGCTCTGTACTGGATGAAGATAATGAAGTGCTTTATTTCATTTACAGACAATGCTAATGAGGAAGAGTTGGAAAAGATCCAGTAAGGTAACTCTTAGCATGCGATCTTCAGCTTTCCTTGTTGGGAAGACTATTAGCCGCTTTCTCTTTCTCAGATTCCTCTCATCTCCTTCTAAGCTGTACCACACATCACTGCTAGTTGCTCTTTTCTCCCCATAATCTTTAAGCCAATCATGAGATGCTTTCAAATTCAGTAGAAGCCTCGCTGTTGCAGAACACCCAGACCATTTTCTTGCTGTTCTTCAGTCACTTCTTAGCTTCATTCTCAGCATCCGGTCTCTACTATATGCACAACAGGGTCTACAAAATCACTCTGTTCCAGGATGAAAGTGATGAGACTGGGGCAGAGACAACTCCAGACACAAGTGGCCATGGGACTTTCTGGTTTTGTTCCCAGAAAATTGAGTATTGGGCTTTCTAAACCCCAATCTGTGTGCCATTTCAGCTTGAGGACAGTTCTTCCTCAGTGCCTCATCTCACTTCCAGAATGAGAGGAGTGGTGACTCCAGAAATGCACTGAGCTTTGCATATACCTTATGAGATGTGTAAGACACATAGTATCTTTGGTGATGTTAGTATTTCTGGTGATAGCACCACTCTTGAGTATAAATAACTATCATTAACTTTTATATGACTGCACTTTGAAATAAATTAAACAAATTTCCTTGGTAAAAAATGACATTTATTCAAATTTCTTCTTAAAAGGTCAATATTGCTTTTAATAATTCTGCTTTTTTAGACCCTGGAACACTGACAATCTTTCTTCTTCCATTCTGTTCAAATCATGCTGTTCTTTAAGTTATTACTCAAATTCATCATTTTCCTTTTACTGGGAATTAAGAAAATATGTATAATAAGTATTGTTTTATGTTTGCTGTGACATCTTACTTCTCATATGCAGTTAGTTACTCTACAGTTCTTTCTTGGGGGGTGGGTGTTGAAACAGGATTTCTCTGTAGCTTTGGAGCCTGTCCTGGAACTCACTCTGTAGACCAGGCTGACCTAGAACTCACTGAGATACCTCTGCTCCCCACCCCCCCAAGTGCTGTGATTAAAGGTATGAGCCATCATTGTCCAGCTAAAATTTTATTTATTCATTTTATTTTTTTGAGACAGGGTTTCTCTGTGTAGCTTTGGAGCCTGTCCTGTAACTTGTCCTGTAGACCAGACTGGCCTCAAAATCACAGAGATCCACCTGCCTCAGCTCCTGAGTGCTGGGTACTCTCCTGTTCTGATACTTCTGACAAGAAAGAGACAACTCATTGAAAGACCAGCACTCAATAAGCACATATTAGAGAAAGTTGAGTGTCTACTCTGGTTTCACTAAACAAAATAAGGCTGTAAAGACTTTAAAAGAAATGATTGAATTGCTTATCTTTGTAACTACTTTAGAATTAATATTATATTAAACGCGTTGATTTTAAAATGTACATAAGACTTTCCCCATCCTGTGACTCTATGATATTTTTGTGTAAAAACCTAACCTGTGAATAGTTAGCAATATTCATCTTCCAAATGAGTTTAACTAGAACTAGATATTACATAGTATTTGGCATTAATTAATATGAATAATATATTTTATTGAAATATAAAAGAGAATAGAAGTATCATTTTGACTGTGTATACTGAAAGACATTTAATCACTGAAAACCCCAGCACTTAAGGGGCTAAGGGGAGAGAACTAAAGAATAGGCCTGGTAGGTGGGGTGTTGGTGGTGCACGCCTTTAATCCCAGCACTTGGGAGGCAAAGGCAGGTGGATCTCTGTGAGTTAGAGGCCAGCCTGGTCTCCAGAGTGAGTGCCAGGATAGGCTCCAAAGCTACACAGAGAAACCCTGTCTCGAAAAAACAAAAACAAACAAACAAACAAACAAACAAATGAATAGGCCTGGCTGCAGAGAAAAAAACATTTGAACATATATTCAGATAGAAAGATGGCAAATCAATGTCTATAAGACTTTTAATTTGTTTAAATTAATCTTAATGATAAAGTAAAAATAAATCCACATAATTTCCTTGAACCTATAAAAATTTAAATGAATAACAAATATATTTCCATTATGTATATATAAAATTCTTGAAAGTTTGCCACTGTAGATGCAAAATACCTGTGTCTATTTCAGTACTCACTTGAACAGTTGACAGATTATATTTAGTACAGATGTTAATGTTAGATTAAGGAATTTTTCAATTTGGTACATTTTCATGGAGATTCTAAGTGCTGAGTGAGTTAAAATAGCTTCACCTATTTTGATTTTTTCTATGAGAACAGAATGAGCACTTGTTAATTCATTCAGATATTTACTATGTCTTAAAACACTCTCCATATTCACCAGATAGTGTTATAAAAATAGAGTTATATTTTAATAATCCAGGGACATTTTCACATTTCTAATTATTACCTACTTCACTGGTCTTCAAGCTCCTCCCCAGGTTGGCACTTTTCTGATTATTTTCCTCCAAGGCACCTACAACTAAGAACTAAGGGATAGGTGAGCAGGCTATTTGTGTTTAGGGCACACCACTGATTCGCCGAAATATTCTCACTGCACTCTGCCCCTTGAAATCTATGTCATAATGAGGAGAATTCTTCTCTTGATTTTAGAAAGAATATGCTTGAATCATGCTTTAAAATAAGCATTGATATTTTTAGTAGTTGTGCTTATATTATACAGTTATGTTCACCGTTGGATGTTCCTGTAGACACAAATACTTTTCTTCTATGGAGTTTCAGTTTACAGGAATGAAATCTCCTGTCATCTTCATGGCAGGACTTCAATATGCTGCTTGTCTTTGAGCACCAAGGGAGAAAAAAAATCTGAGAATCAAAATCTTCCTACTAAAGACTTACATATAGCCAAACATTGCTTTCCAAGGTTGTGTGTGGTTTGGGCTTTTCTTCCTGGTCTTGATTTCCTTCAGAAGTAATCTAAATACATAGAGGAGAGTCTCTACATTGATGGTCCTTTGAAACATGAACATCTCCCTTGCATACAAGATGAAATAACTCATAGAATTTCCTGTTTGTCACTTCATTATCTTTATGTGATAAGGGTTTTGTTTTTGTTTGTTTGTTTGTTTGTTTGTTTGTTTGTTTTTTGACACAGGGTTTCTCCATGTAGCCTTGGCTGTTCTGGAACTCACTCTGTAGACCAGGCTGGCTTCAAACTCACAGAGATCTATCATGCCTATGCCTCCCGAATGCTGGGACTAAAGGGGTGTGCTACAACCATCTGCCTTGTGATAAGGTTTTTTATTCATATTTTATTTATGTTATTCACCACACTTCTGCCAATAGTAGATTCTCTCAAGGAAATATTTGTGGTACTCACATGCTGTGTGACAGTATGTACTATTGAAATAATAAACCAGTTATCCAGAGGACAGGGCATCATAAATGTTATTCAAGTCTCTTTATTATTATTGTAAACATATTATAAGAAGTAGGAAAAATGCACCTACATATATCTGTAAAGAGTAAGATGTAGAAATATGGGCTAGATTTCAAGTGCATGCAAATCAGAAAATAGTAAATTCCACACTATCTCCTCTTCTGGGTATAGTAGCATCCATGAGTATTCTCGTTATGGTTACCAACTAACTACACTTTCCATGATCTACACTTTAATTCCTGTCTCACACTTATCTGTAACAGAAGAGTGTTATTTTAAGAAAAAAGGAAAATCAATGTCTACCCAAACTCAAACAACTAGGCATTAATACATTTTGGCAGAGAAATTATGATTCTTTGAGTTATTTCAATACTTTATTCTTTATAAGACTATCATTGATAACTTATTTAAAGTTAAATTATTCATCAAGAAAATTCCATGACCTCAAAGGTATATATATATATATATATATATATATATATATATATGCACACATATATAGCAAATTTGTATATAATATATATTGAATTTATATATAATGTATATCATATATAGTGAATAAATTTGGGGGGTCAAAACAAAAACAAATGAAATAATGAAATAATTGTCTTGGTTGGTTGGTTTGGAGTTTATTCAGTGCTGCGTATGCTGTGTTTTACCCAGAGGAGAGTTTATCCGTGGTTATGATGAGTAATAATAAACAAGTTACTACTAAGCATGATGTTAGATGAGGCAGAATCATGGTTTCAAATCATCCTGTAGTATATAGTGATAATTTACCTTACATAAAAAATAAGAAACGTATGTTTTCAATAAATTACTTCAGTTATCTGAAAAATACTATTGTAGGCAGCCTTACCTCCAGCTAAAATGCTACTGGCACTTGTTGACTTCTGAGTGAGATTCACTTTTCTTCGTAGTTGTGCCTTCTGAAAGGTTGCCCCTGCCCTAGTGGGTGGCCACACCCATGCACATAGGCAAACACTAATTGGAGTCTGTGAGATAGTAATTAAAAGAAGAGGACACAAAGTTGGGCGGAGATGTGTTGGGGGGAGCTTCTTGAAGCAGCTGGAGGCTTATCGACAGGGAGGGGGTGGTGAGGATTAAAATATGCTGTATGCATGTGTGAAATTTTCAAAGAGCAAATCAAAATATTATTTTTAAAAAAGAAAATGCTATTGTAATTGTATAGAAAATCCTAAGCATAACAATGTAATTGTTTTCTTTATAATTCTGTCCTTCTAATAATATAATGTAGATTATTGTGGTGGTATCTCATTACTAGATCTCCTATTATTTGACAGCCTACATCTCTTTTAGCAATATACCTTCTGATAAAGATTTTATTATAATCACTTAGCATGATGTTAATGAAATATGAAACACTTTACCTATTGGTTGAATGAAGCAATTTTAATAAGACTTCTGGCAAAGTTATCATTAATTTAAACTAGGGAACACTGAGCTCTGTAAAACTGCAGGGCATAGTTAAACTGGCACCTTGCATGACACATTCAAAATGCATCAATGACTTGTAAATGCTTTAAGTAAGGGGGCAGAAACGGACACTTTTTTGAGTGTCACACATAGTCAGACATGAAAAAGATATTAGTTAACAGTTATTGGGTCTTTCTACTTAGATGTCATTTGCAGATAAACAGGAGATTATAAAGAATAGAAAAGGTTGTAAAATGAAAACTACTGGTAGGAGGCTCTCAGCTATTTGTTCTCACAATACTTTCATTTAGTATACCATTCATAATTGCAGGCATGTGTCTCTGAGCATGGGAAATGGTGACATGTTTTTAAGGAAACAAACTTTTATTTAAAATTCCTTACTTTGGCTTTATTTTTATTACCAACTCTTTCTTTAAAGTACTATAAAATAATACCTTATGTCAGAATTGATTGTTCTGGGGTTCTAAAATGCAATAGTAACAAACGATAAACAGCAACAAGGAGTTCTATTATATAGAATTATTTGGACCTCAGTTATTACATTTGTAGTAAGTTCACTTATTTTATAAATATTATGAATATTTATAAATAATTAGCATGATATTTGCTTATCCAACAAAGTACATGAAGCCATAGTTTGATCTTATAGTGAAATGATTTTTTCTTTGATGTTTTCATATTTCCTTATAGACCTAAAATTAGATTTTATATACTTTAATTCATAATGACGATTTGCTATAATCATGATATTACATTTGTTTGGTTGCTTTTGATGAACTTATATATTGTGGCTTTTTCTGGATAAATATGGTTGATCTGGTTTAAATTAAAAGGATAAAGTGTACCCTTGAGCGCAAGATGAAATCCGCCAAGCTTGTGCCCTATGTCTAAGACGTTTATTGCCTGATTGCCAATTGACCTTTGCTTCTTGGATGTGCTAACAAAGTGCCAACCAATTTCCCCATGATCCTTCCTGAGATGATTAGAAGGGAGAATTAATGTATCTGACTCCAAGTTAATGGACCAAAAGGCAGACACAGAGATGTGTATGGCATCATGATGGAAGAATAGATGATAGGTAGGTAGATGTATGGTACGTGGATAGCTAGATAGATAAAAGATAGATGACAGATGGATAGATAGATAGATAGATATGTAGATAGATGATAGATGGTAGATATATAGATTATAGATAATTTATTCATTTAAAATACTTTAAATACTCAAATGAAAATAATTCATAATTTTGCAGTGACTTTAATATGAAAACCCTAGTTGACATGGTTATTCAAAGGCTTAGTCAATACTCTAGATCATTGTTGTTTGCTAGGATGGAAGCATCTCATGACCCCAACTTTCATGAACAATGATTATCTGACCAGGAAACTTTATGTAACTGATTTGCTTATGAATTTAAAAATATTTCCAATCTCTCTAATGTTCAAAATAGCACCAATGAAAAGAAATTTGTCATGTACATATAAAAATAGGTTCATGTAATCTAGAATGCTGACTTGATTCAGACACTTAAATTTTAGGGTCAAAAATTCAAGTTTTTTCTTGTGATTATTTTGATTCTTGAAGAATACACACATTATAATAATGTGAATTATTGTTCAAAATCTGTATGCTGATGAAATTTAAAATGTCACCTTAAATAAAATATTGATAGTTAATCCTCACTCCAACTGATAACAAAATCTTAAAAGATTCTTGTGATTTATTTTATGTACACTTTAAAAATTATTATATTCAACTTTTTGGTAAAACTGCACTTTTACTTTTCTGAAGGAAAATTATCTTTTAGACTTTTTTATTTTAAAAATATGATTAAATTTTAGACTTGTAGTTTGATTTTTTAACTTTGAGGAGAAATTTCTTTATAGTGCAAAAACACTTTGAAGGCAGAAATAGACCTAATTAATACAAAACCAACGGCACACTTGGTGGTGTGTTAAATTAGAAACCTCAATAGAAGTGGTTCAGCCTTTCATTATTCAAGATAACTTTTTTAGGGTGGGCGTTTGAGACAGGGTTTCTCTGTGGCTTTGGAGGCTGTCCTGGAACTAGCTCTTGTAGACCAGGCTGGTCTCGAACTCACAGAGATCTGCCTGCCTCTGCCTCCCGAGTGCTGGAACTAAAGACATGCGCCACTACTGCCTGGCTTTATTCAGGATAATTTTGACAATTATCTTTTATCAAATTGATGTCATGTTTGTGTTCAATTTTCTTTCAGTGTTGATTTGTAATTTTAGTGTTCTCAAACTGCTGCTCCCCCTCACTCTGAAGTCTCTCGTCTTGATGGACACTGAAGTGTTACTTAATATTTACATGATGATTGACTCAAGGCTTCTCTGGGATTCTCTGTGTTCTCCAAATTCAAATCAGTGCTTTTGTTTAGGACTCATCATAATGCCAGTGCTTTGTTGCTGTTGCTGCTGCTATTGTTACGTGATGGTTATTACACTTATTGCTGTAGCTATTGTTTATTGTTGCATTTATTGTTTTAATTGCTGTTGTTATTGGTGTTGCTTTTGCTGTTATTTGCGTTGTGATGATTATTTTCTTTGCTATTAATGTTGTTGCTATTGTTATTATTTTTCTTATTGTTTTTGTTGTTACTGTTGTTCCCAATAATAACTACTCCTGGGTTGGTCTATTGTAAATTTCATATTAATTCAAAGCAATAAATGGCACTAGAAGCCACATGAAAATTAAACTGTTTCACTTGAAATAAAGGCCTAAATTTACATAAAAATGTGGGATGTAAAATCAACTAAAAATTGTAGCTGATGAGTGATAAAAATAATTAAATATGGCATAAAATGTACAGTCTAGGAACTAGGATGGGTCTAAAAAGTATAGCCTGGGAACTAGGGTGGATCCTAATGTATCCAACAGTTTTGTTTTTCAATCTTAAATTTTCATCATTAAAAAACCCCCAACCACCAGATTCATTTTTTTCTTTGTATACTAAGCCAATAAACAGGTAAATGCTCTCTGCTTTTAGCTGAAGAAGACCAGAAAGTAATATTCATACAGCTTAGTATCAGTCACACAGGATACCTAAAGCTTTAAATGAGCTAATATTACTTTTAAGTATTTCATTTATGCTGATTTAGAGTTAAACTTTCATCTCTATTTAGTTTACACATTATGCCCTATGATTTAAACTCACTTAGATGTATAACTTTTGATACTGCCTCACCTTATGTAGAGTGAAACCTACACTTAATTGTTGCCACACTTAGTTGTTCAAATATGATATTACAACTTGATATTTAAAATTGTGTCACATGTCAATAAATATGCAGATCAAGTACTTAAATATTTACACATCAAAATGGAGAGAAATGACAATTAAAAAGAAAGCATAAACTTCTCTAAAATCCAGACAATTATTTAACTTAAGTAATAAGATAAAGAACCAGAGAGATAGTACAATGGGTAAGGGCACATTCCCACAGGTCTTATGGCCAGAAATTGATTCCCAGATCCCATGACAGGAAAGTACTGACTACACACACACACCACCACCACCACCACCACCACCACCACAACCATCACCACACCAATAATAAATAACTAAGAAAGAATTGATGCATAACTTAAAATTCAGAGTGATCTTTTAAAAAATATGTATCAAGAAAGAGGCTGAAATGTAAGTGTAATTATTAAAGGATTGTTGTTGCTTAGATTCTACTGTGATAGTGTGTCATATGAATACTATAAAATATAAATATAAACAAATAAGAACCCTTTATTGCTGACCAAATGATATTTTAGATGAAAAATTTTTTTCCTGATGATTTCTACCATAAGCAATTCTACCTGACCAAACTCTAAGCAAGCAACTTGAGAAATAATAATCTGTTGTATTAAGAAATGTATTTTATTAAATTACATAGTCATCTGTGAAGCATTTCTGTCTAATTTTAAATTACTCAAATTGACAAGTACTCCAGAACATCTTTATTATTAAATATTAATTTCTACTTTATTTTTTTCATGTTTGGTAAAATGTAAGATTTTAATCAAATGCTAGTTGGTCAGTTAACAAAATTTATTGAGTACTGACTATGCCTTAGACATGCTGTAAAATGTAGACCACTATAATCCTAGTTGTTATCATGAAATAAAATTTAAAAATGCATAGTAAGATTGTTCCCTCTTCATAACAGTGTCAAAACTGAACTGTCCCCAGACTCTCATCAGCATTCCACCACTTCATTGTAGTGATACTCAGGAACAGACTAGAACACTGTACAGTCCAAAGGAAAAGAAATGGAAGTTTTTAAAAATGCAGTTAATTGGGGTGAGGATGTAGCTCAGAGCTAAAGTTAATGAAGTCATTTGCATTGTATTTATTGTATGTATTGTATCATATGAGGAAATTTGAGAAATTTTATAAAGAATTTAACTAGGTACATGTTTTATTAACAAGATTTCTGCTTCTGTATTTTAAAACAATCCCATAGTCTATAATTAGTACAAATGTTTTACAAAAAAGAAACAATGTTGTCTACTTCATTTTAAAATTGTGCAATGTGCTTTAGTACTTATATTCTTTGTCAAAAAACATCAGACTCAGAGATATATTAATGAACAGTTAAGAACAAAGTGTTAAGTGAACTCTAATAACTACAGAAACTACCTCCACCCTTTATCCTCAGTGATGTAGGGGATGAAGAAGACAGAAGGAAGAGAGTCATCTACGCAAGAGAAGAAGCTGTAGTTCACAAAAACAAAAGTGTCTCAATTATGATTTTTGACTTTCAGTTTGCTTTGATTTTGTTTTGCTACTACTCTCAAAAACATCTAAAAATTTAGTTAAATATTCATTTGTTTTTAGGAACTCTCAGAAAATGAAGTGTTTGGATCTCACTTCTCTGTGCAGTCTTTCTTTTGGAGGGTAATGTTAAAATACTTTAATATTAATATTCTTGAGTTTTTGTTTCTGGATGATTATTGTGAAATAAGAATTTTGACTTTTAAAGCAGTCCCATAGATAGATGTATTCATTTGCCTTCTTCATTGACTTAATTCTAAGCCATATCAACAATTTTTCTGCCCTCACTTTAAAAATATTGATAATTTTATGCTTTTGAAAGCATGTCTTGGAAACTATTCTTTGCAGGAACACATTTATTCAAGTTTTAAGCACCATAGTTCGGAGTTCTCCCAGAAGAGGGTGATTCTCTATGTGAAGTACATGGAGGCTTTGTCCCACTCTGGATGTGTTTGTTAATGCTCCATTTCTGTTCATTGGAAGTTACTCTTATCAAAGTGATCATAAGCAACACATATAGGGGACATACAGGAAACAGTCACTGCTATTTATTTGAGTTAGTAAACATTAAATCTACTGTTGACTGAAATGAAAATAATATAAAATTTCCATGGAATTTGTTTTAAATATCATTAGAATTTAATCATTACTGATGTCATCGGTTTTTTTCTTTTATGTAACTCCATTATTCACAGCACGTACTCACTGGTTTCTTACTAGTACTTGAAGACTGTCCCTGAAGCATCACCATAAGCTCCCAGAAGTCCTTCTCCCTTACTTAAGACCATCTTTGAGCCACTCCGAGAGGGAGGGCTATGTCTTGTCTTATCTCAAGGAGATGTTGGGTCTCCCTGTACTGTCATTCCCAAAATTTCTGGGTTGCATTTTCCCCTTCTTCTGAAACAACTACCATTCATTGTGTCTTTTCTTTTCCTCATTTTCAATTTTGCTTTCATTAGTTCTTCCTTTTCTGCTGTCATTTATGTATGCCATTAGAAAAATCCCAAAACAAATTCCATTGTTACCTTTTACAATAATTCTCCAAGATTCTTGTAACTAAGCTGAGAACACAGTATCTTATAAGCAGAATGTATTGTCTCACTGTTCTGGAGGCAAAGATGCAAAGCGGTGTGTGAGTAGAGCCATTTTTCTTTGGGGGACTTTTTCTCCTAGCTCTCTGTAGATTTTCTACTGTGCTACTACTATTCCAGGCATCATATGACATTCTCCCTGTGTGTATATCTCTGGGTCTAAATTTCTCTTTCATTAAAACAAAGAAAAGGGAAATGAAAACAACCATTTAGACAATGATTTTGTAACACTAGACACTGCAGGGAAAATGTTACATTTTTAAGTCCTTGCTATTTTCCTTTTGTGTTTTCAAATCACTTGTATTCAAAAAGTACATTTTCCATTTAGAATTTTGAGATCTGTTGCAATAATGCTTCAGCATGTTGTCAGTTCCACTGTAAGTCAGGTGCTGGCCAGTGAATCAGTATAAGCCACAGATACTTATCCTCCTGCTCCAACACACACACACAGACACACACACACAGACACACACAGACACACACACACACACACACACACACACACACACACCTTTTTTGCAGCTCTTCCTTATTGAGAGCCTGTTGAATGATTATAGTGTGCTGTCTCTTTTCTACCCCCTTTACAGAAGCTGCCTTCACTAAAGTTACTCTGTACGTTTGCCAAAATAATAATTGTTTCTCTTATGTGTTCATGTATATTCATGAATGTAGAGGCTGGCCTCTATTGAATCCTCACTGGGAGGAGACTTTTGCTTATTTGAGAGCAGAATTTGGGACACTCACTCAGTGTTGAGTTTGTTCTCTGCTCTGCAAACATGCAGACAAGTAATTTCAAGTCAAGAGTCACTGCTAGGACCAACTCTGTAATTACCGCCTTTTCCATGTTCCCTTCTAAGGGGCTCATTCCTTCTGCTTTGTTGTTCCCAAATTAGTCTTCCACTTATCAGTGCTTTCCACTTGGCTCCCTTCTTTCTTCTCTCAATATTTCTCAATAATCTTTCTCCATTTCTTGAAGTATCTGATTTTAGAACAAATGTGTAGGTTTAAATTATAGCTTTTTTGGCACCCAAGAAACAGTGGTAAGATCTCTTTTGGGCACACAACACTAAGTAATTGCAGATTAATTGAAAAAAAAGACAAACTCTTTAAGAGACATGTATTCTCTCAATGAGGAAACTAAGACCCAGAACAGTGATGTCATCTCCCTGAAGAACCCTAAGGATGTGGTCAGGAGCAACATTCTTCTTTTTATGAATGCATAGAAATAAACGTTTGGAAGAATAAGTAGTAGCAGGGCTTCCATTTGGGTTTCTGACCAAGGAAATGTGCTACATAAATAGTCTCTCATGTACTGAAGAGTTGCTTGTTTGACATTCCATTTACAAAAACCGATAATAAGTAATCAAGTCTAGTTAGGATGAGAAATATCTCACATATTCACGTCAAAAGTCACTCTGACAAATGACCCCATGAGTATCTGCCCATAAACTATTAGTATTTTCATAAACATTTTAGATACACATTTGAAAAGATGTTTTCCCTGGACATGTTCAAATATGCAAAAGAACTCCAAAAAGCTTGTATAAAATCTTAACATAGAGTGTGCAGTATGAAAAATGCTATGAAAACACTCATTCATTTGTAAGGTAACTATTAAAGTTTATAAAAGCCATCTTCTCCAGGGCCTAACCAGAGAAGTATAATCCTCTGCAACATATGGCGACCATCAAAGAAAACCACAAGCAATCAAATTGCAGAGTTATGGAACCTAGTTCAAATGATACCTACCCAATCCAATACCTAAGGCTCAGGATCACTGCAGAAGAAAGGAAATTGTAAGAGCCAAAGGACTGGAGTTTGCTGTGAGATTGTATCTCCTAGAAATGTCAGAAGCTACACATATGAAGCCTCACCAACAGAGCTGCCTAAACATGACCTGAATAAGTATGGGGCCAACAGACAACCAAATTGGCCAGGTGATGATCATGAGGTTTCAACCCAAGACAAAGAACTACAGGCAACTAAGGAATGCTGACAGCTGGAGAAATCCTCTTCCCTCGAAGAGAGCCCCTAATGGGTTATCCAATAGCACATGGTTAGCCTTGAAAACATACATAGACATAGAAGTTAACATTATAGGGACTGAGAAGGTTATATTTATATATTTAGGAATATTTATACACACATATGCATGCAAACACACACACACACACACACACACACACACCATCAATTAAAGAAAAAGATTCCATGGATTTGAGAGAGAATTGGGTCACATGGGAGGGTATGGGGGAAGAAAAAAAGGAGGAAATAGTTTAGTTATATTATCATCTCAAAAAGTAAAAGTTATCTTGAAAAATTTAATAAAATAGGGCTGAATAGAAGTAGTTAAGAACATGTAATCCTTTTGTAGAGAATTAATGATTATTTCCCAACACTCAAGTCCCACAGCTCACAACCACCAGTAACAACAGTTCCAGAAGACCAAACCCCTCTTGTCTCCTTCAGAGACTGTCCTTGCATGCTAACATGTATACACTCTCACATGCACATATGCTCAATGCTCACATGCTCACATGCACACATGTACATACACTCACATGCTTACATACACACACGTTCACATGCTCACAGCTCACATGCACACATATTCACATGATCACACACTCACAGGCTCACATGCACAAATGCTTGCATGCACACATGCTAACACACTCACATGCACACATGCTCACATGCACACACATGCTCACATGCACACACACTTACATGCATACACACACACATGCTCACAGGCTCACATGCACACATGTGTATACACTCACACACCACATACTCACATACTCATATTCTCACATGCTCACTTGCACACATGTTCACATGTTCACCCACTCAAGGCTCACATGCACAAACACTTACATGCTTGCATGTACACATGCTCACACAGTCATACACTCACATGCTTACATGCACACATGTACACATGTTCACATGCACACACACATGCTCAAATGCTCACATGTTCACATACACACATACATTCATGTTCACATGCTCACATGCACACACATTCACATGCTCATATGCTCACATGCTCACATGCACAAACATTCACATGCTCACATGCTCACACACACACACACACACACACACATGCATGCATGCACACAGATCATTTAAAATAACTCTTAAATAAGATTAGTAAAAGAAAGAAAAAGGGTACACATACGTTTTGTCAGGAAAGAAACTTATCATTTGTGTGTTCCAGAGGTGACAAGTTAGTTATATTGAGCCAATCCAGATCCCCGTGAGAGCTTACTCAGTTGGAATACCAGTCGTACTTATATTTCATTTTTTGAAAGCAAAATAATGGAAATTAAAGACAAAAGTGACACAGAGGTATTCTAATTACCCAAAAGAATATCTAGAATTCATCAGGACAGTGTATCTCGGGACAGAGCATTACACAGTGAGTATAGCAATTACCATGTTTTTCCTGAAAACAATACAAATTATGGGAACTCAAATCAGATTACTGTAATTAAGTCAGATTTTTATTATAGACATTTAGCTTCCAATGAAATAAGGGTCATTTAGAACATGTTTAGCTTGCTTCTATGTCTTCATTTCTTTCACAAGTTTTCCATGCTTCTGTTTCTTCCCAGTGATTTCCACTGAGCAGACATCAAGATTCTGAAAGAAGACTTAACTGAAGAAACCATATTACAAAAGCACTATAGTGGATTAAATATCTTTAATGGAAAGATCAGGGATCTGCCTAAACAAACATAAAAATGGAGGAAAGATTTATGACAGAAAAGGCAGAACAGTGCAGAATGACATCAGGGTGTGTCTTATAGTCAGGTCAAGCAGAAGTGTGTTAGCTGAAAGATTTCAGCAAAGGGGAAGAGGCACTGACTAACACTGAGTAAAACAAGAGTGTGACCATGTGCTAGCACTCACATTATTAAAAATTAAGTATATATTATAGCCCCCCAAAAGGTCACAGATCATTTCCATTTTAGATATGAAAATAAGACTCTTGAAATATTTATAAATTTTCATTTAAGC